CGGGCAGAGCGCGAGCTCCATTGTGCAGCGCGGAGCGGGCCGCGGTCTCCTCCCGGGGCGACGCGGCGCCGGTGTCCAACCCCCCCTCCCTCTTTGCAACACACACACCCCACGCCCCGACCCGTCCGCAGCTCCCCGCCTCCCCAGGCCTCGGCGCCCTCGAGTCTGCGGAGTTTGCAGAGCGCGAGCCGTTTAAATTTAGCGCTTTGGGCAGCCTGGAGCGAGGGCTCCGGGCGAGGAAGGAAGATGGGGGCGAGCGCTGGGAAGGCGGCGGCGGCGGCGCGGCCGGGAAGCGGGGCGCCCATGGCTCCCACCCGCTCCGCGCGGTACCCGGAGCTGGGGGTGGGGGACACGCGATGTTGGCTGCCAGAAGCCAAGTCCTGGGCCGTGTCTGCCTTCTCCCAGCCGGAGCTGGTGTTTGTTTTGCGGAGAGAAGCGAGCGACCGTTGTTTTTGTTCTCTGCAACCGGGGGAGGAGGAGGGGACCGCGAGATTCGGTGTGGGCCGTGCGTGTTTTTCAAGCTCAAATTAGATCGTGCCCGGCGTGGCCTCGTTGTCATTAGTAGGATGGGACATGTTCACGGGGCCTCGTCGGGATCTGACTCCGAGGCGGCCCCAGAGGCCAGGCCTGAGGCGCCAGTAGTCCACCACCGGGTTGGGTCAGACTTGTTGAAAACTCCCTGCTCCCCGATTTCAACTTTATTATGGTGGTTTTTTTTTTTTTTTCTCACGGCTGCATCGGGGTCCGAGAGGGAGACGAGCAGCCGCGAGGGTGTCCCCAAGTGTCAGCGGCGGCGGGCTGGTCCTGTCCTTTATAGGAACTGGCCAGGCCCCATTGCAGGCTGTTTCTTTTGGGGGTGTCGTTTCATGAGTAACGTCTCGGTGGTTGTCTTTTTTTTTTTTTTTTTTTTTTAAGCACTACTCGGGGGCTTGTCTCAGGTCTGGTGGTGTCACAAGTTAGCTGTCCTTTCAGAGTGAAACCCAACAACAACAACAAAAAAAAAGGCAAGGAGAAAAATCAATAAAGTCCACGTGCTCCCGGGCCTCCTATGGAAAGGGCTGCCTGCGGATGGCCGGATGCCCGCCGTGGGCTGGGTTTGGCTCCAATGGGACAAAGAATTTTCACAACCGTGAGAAGGGGAGGCTTTCCAAAGTTGAGATCCAAGTCCTGGGTGCCGGGGAGCTCCCCTGCTGAGCAAGGCGCCCAGTGCCCAACTGGAGCCATTTAAAAATGGCAGAAACAGCTGCGGGCCAAAACGCAGAGGAAAACACACACGGTACCCTCTCTCCTGTGGGACTCTCCAGGGAAGGCTGGGGTGCGCCCCCCCTCCCCTGCCTCAGTCCCCCGTGCAAAGAAAGAACCGATGTGAGGGCGTGAGTCCCTTCTGTCTGTCACCCGCCTGGAGGGTAGAAAGGGCCTGGTGTAAGCTGCCTTTCTGGTCCTGGAGCTGTGACAGCTGCGGCTGAGTCTGCCAGCTGCTCCGCAGGGCGGGCAGATGGAGGGATGGGGCTTTCCACCCTGCGGGCCCCCGAGCAGCAGGCCTGGAGGCTTCCATCCTGGCCGGTTCACAGCCTGTCAAGCCTGGGATCGGAGTGGGGGATGTGGCCGCCTTCTTCCCTGTGTTTTTGGGGGAAATCAGCACATCGCGACCTCCAAAGACCTCTCCTGGTTAAGTTTCCACTTCAGTACCTTGCTGTGACCTTGAGCAGAAGAAGAAACTCACTTCTCTCACCCTGGCAACCCCGGGCATTCGGTGCCCCCTGACCTTCTCGAACTGTTGAGGACTGACTGACCAGTCAGGAGGAGTCACCGGAGTACACAGGAATCCTTGTAAATGTCCTTATGTGAGGTGGACTTTGTAGAAATTTTGGTTTTGCTTCACTCCCCGTTTTTAAACAGAAATGGAGGGGCCTTCCTTGAGGTGCAGAATCTGGTCTTTCCCTGTCTCTAGAACAGTCTTGCAATCCACCCTGAAGGCTTCGGGGCTGTTTATTAACTGTGGCCACCAACCATGCATTTCACCACTGGCTGAGACGTGGGGTTGCCAGAATTAGCAAATGAAAATACACAGCACCCAACTAAATTTGAATTTCAGATAAATAGCGAAATGATTTTTAAAAATAAACCTTTCTCCTGGGTATGGTGGTAGTGGTGGTGCATGCCTATAATCTCAGCACTTGTGAGGCAGAGGCAGGAGAATCAGGAGTTCAAGGCCAGCCTCAGCTACCTAGTGAATTCAAGGCTAGCCTGGGCTACATTCAATCTTCTCTCTAAAAAAATAAAATAAAATAAATGCAATTTTCTGCTGAGATTAATGCTTTAGCGGTAGAATTTGAACTTAATATGCACAAGGCTCTGGGTTTTGTCTTCCGGCTGTACACACACACACACACACACACACACACACACACACACACACTCTCACACCTTTGTGTTAAGTATATTCCATGAAATACACATACCGACACATATCAAAAGTTATCCATTTATCTGAAAAATTCAAAATCAGTGAGTCATTCTGTATGTTATCCAGAGGAGAGCTGAGGTGCCTGGCATTCTAGTCAGTCCGAAAGCCTAGGGTGGTATTTCTCCTCATACCCTCTTGGCCTGCCTTTCCCTTCCTTTGCCCTGCAGAAGAAGCCTGTGTGAGCTGAGGCCTCCCTAGCCACAGTTGGAAGCTATTTCTCATCTCCTTTCTGCCTGGTGTCCCAGCAGAGCAGGTTGGTGGGGTGTGAGGTGGCCAGAAGATGGCTGTAGGAGAACAAAATGGTTGGTCCCTTTTTGGGAAACTGGGCCAGACTTAGGAGGCCCCGAATATGAGTGGAAAAGACGAAGCGGGGTCAGAGCTATGTAGTAGTAGACGTTGGACCAGAGCCTTTCTGCTCTTGGTTCAAGCGGCCCCTTAGCAACGTGCCATAAAGACCGTGGCCAGTTTGGTGGAGGCTTTCCACCCATCCCTGAGAGAGGCCATCTGAGGGACACGCCGACCCTCCTGGTTAGGATGCGGACAAGTCCCCCAAGGTGACAAAGACTGGCCCTGTAGTGAATGTCCAAAGATGGATTTAGAGCTCTTTGGAGTCGGCAGGGACGCCTGGAGCACACTGGACCTGGATCCAGGAGAACCCTGGAAATTCCCCTTGGCCTTGAGAATCTGAAAATGGACTATTGTCGTTTATATAAGAGCCTGAGCTGGGGAAAAACTTTGGAGCTCTGTTCCCACTTCTGGGGCTTCCTTGCATCCTTTTGTCTCAGGAGCACGATTCTGGTAGACTGGAGGGAAGCCGGTTCCGGGGCCATGCAGGCAAGAGGACTCGGGCTCTGTGCAGAGTTAGTTTCGTGGCTAGGTTGAGCGGCAGCCTGGTGGTCCGTGTGGATGCCTCCAGGTGCTGAGAGGTTGGGGCCGGGAGGGAGCCAGTGTGTGTCATCTGGAGCAAGCTGCGGCTTCCAGGGCCATGTGGGCCCCAGATCATGTTTTGAGAGTGGCCAAGAATCTGGTTTTTATGGCTCCCTCTTTCTTTCGTTCTTTCTTCTACTTTGGCAACGGAGTCAGCTTTTGAAAAGTCCTAGGAAGGTCCAATAAGACGGGCCTGTGGGTCATTTGTTTCCCGCCCTGGCTGTAAGGTAACGGGAACTGTCCTGTTCCCTCCTCCTGGGAGCAGCCAGCTGTGCGTCCCCCCATTGATGGACATGGGGCGCTTACAGGAGACCTCACCTGCTCCCCTGAGCCAGTCAGCGCTTCTGTGAGACCTCTGTCCCGCTTCCCAGGAGGCCAAGGGCTAAGTCCCAGGTCAGAGGTCAAAGGTCAATCCCAAGGTCAGCGTCTACTTCTTTTGGTTTGTTGTTGTTGTTATTGCCCGTCTCTCCCCACTCCCCCACCCCAGATGGGGTTTCTCTGTGTAGTCCTGGCTGTCCTGGAACTTGCCTCCAGAGTGCTGGGTTTTTGGTTGTTGTTTTTTTTTAAATTCTTTTATATTTTATTTATTTCTCTCTGTGCTCGCACATAAGGGAGAGGAGAGCACTCACAGATGCTATGATGCGCCTCTTGCGGAGGTCAGAGGACAACTTGTGGGCGTAGGTGATCTCCTCCCACCACGTCGGTTCTGAGATCTAACTCAGGTCATCAGGCACCTTTCCCTGTGACCTACCGAGCCAGCTCACCAGCCCCTGTTATTATTATTATTATTATTATTATTATTCTCACCATGTAGCTTAGAGCCGCCTGGGACCTAGAGTTAGCAATCATCTTGCCTCTGCCTCCCAAGTGCCGGGATTTTAAGGTTGCTAAGACTGTACACCATCATGCCCGGCTCCCAAGGTCAAGTTCACAACTCCTGCCTCTGTCCCAAAGCCCCCTCACTTTCCACCCCTAGCAATAGTCTATGAACTGTTTTCTCTCTGGGGTGACCTCGGTACTCCCGTGAAGAGGTCCTCAGCTCCGGAAGAAGGACCCAGTGCGCAGCTGGTGGCCTATAATGCACTGCTAACTTCAGACGTTCACCCTGGTTCCTGTCATCTTGGGAGGTCCAGAACTCTGGCGTACTTTCCAACCTGAACTATGGCCTTTGTGTTACAAGTTAATTATTTTTTAAAAAAAAATTAAATTAACACTCTCCAACTTTGAATTGGTTGATTTACTAAGACTCAGACCAAGAAAGCTCGTCAAGGGCTTGTGAGTACTGATAGGGTGTGACTTTGGCCTTCTGATTCTAGAAACTTCTGTCCCCAGGTGGTCTCTAGAATGGACTTTTCCTGCCCATGGGCAGCAGAATAGCGGAAGGTGGACTCTGGCATCAAAACCTATATTCACTTTTATTTTACCATGTTTTGTCTGTGCGACCATGACCATGGTAAAAGTTCCCGGAACGCTTGTTTCCTCATCCGTAAGATGGGTTCCTACCTTTTGGTAATCTCAGAGAAAGGAGAGAGAGGACAGGGGTCCTAGAGCTTGGCCTCTAGTACACACACAGTGGCCATCAGGCTTGTATCTCTACTTGTCAGTGAGGTTGTTCCTGGGAAGGGCTCTATCTCTCCAGGTCCCTCCCTAGTACTCCTAAGAGTTAAGGATGGGTCTGTGGCTCGTGTGCTCTGCCTCCAGGAGGCAGGAGAGAGGTGGAAGGAGACCTCTGTCTTCACTTCGTGCTTCCCCTGCCAAAAGGAGCATGGGCGGGGCCTGACAGATGCCCTGGAAAGTCCGGTGCCGGTGCTGCCGAGGGTTTGGATTCTCACTGTGGGGTTATGAGTTCACCTCCTCAAGTCTCACTTCCTTGATCTGTTGAGTGGGAAGGTGACACCGTGTAAACATCAGGGTAGGTGGGTGTGGTGCTTAGCACACGTTGGGAGCAACCCGAAATGGTCTCCTCGAACGGTGACAGCCGGGCCACAGCCGGCAGGAACTTGGAGACCTGGCGGGCCAGAGTTTGTGGATGGAGGTGTAGGGTTTGGTTAGTACCCCTCCCCGACAGCTCCCCAGAGCCTCAGTAGTGGACGCGTGTGTCCCAGTAGCCTGTGAGGGGAAGACCATAGGTAAGGTCTGGGTGGAGAAGCCAAGGTCCTCACATTGCCTTGGGTAGCAGACGGGACTGTTGTCATTGAGACTACAGCCGCACCTCTTCCTCTGATCTCTCGTCTCACCGTGGGTCCCTCGAATCAGCTGGGTTCCTTTCTGCACCCGATGAAACTTCAGGCTGCCTCCCTGAGATGGCCAAGCTGGACCCCAGACCGTTGGGGTTTAAACTCCACCTCTGCCTCTGGTGACTCTCCCCAAGTTGTGCCTCCCCCCCCCCCCAGGCACAGGGCCTCTGAATATTAAGAGGTGACACTGTCTAACAGTAATAGTCTGGCAGATGGCAGTGGCTTGGAGAGGGCGTCATTATTATCCCTGATGAAGCCAGTCATTCCTTCCCCTTCTTGCGGCCTGTAATTTTCTCATCTGTATCCCCGTCCCTCTCAGCGGGGCACTTGGGTTCTGTCCTGTGGGGATTTAGAACCCAGGTGATCAGGGGTCCACGTGGAGCCTCAGCTGAAAGGATCCATCCCCACAAGGCCAGGCTCACCTCTCTATGCCCACCCCACCCCTCCTCTATGCTCCTGTGCTGTTGTGAAGGGAAGCGGTCAGAAGGCCAGGGCTGATGGGTTCCAGGAGGGTAGGCCGGATGAGGCTTACACAAAGCCGAGGGCATTCCCCTGGGCCCCAGCCATCAAGGACAGAGCTGGGAGGCCAAGCCATATCTGTGTGATCAAAGCTTGCTGTCTTGGCCCCTGGGCGACACAGACATCTCTTTGTGGCTGTGACCTCTGCCACCCTCCACCCATAAGCAGTCCCGTCCAAAGCCCCCCGGTTATGGGCTCTTCCTCGTTTCCCGCAGGGAGAAGAAATGGGTGACTGTTGGCGACACCTCCCTACGGATCTACAAGTGGGTCCCTGTGACGGAGCCGAAAGTGGATGACGTAAGTACACAGGGTTATCATGTCTTCATCCCCTACCCAGGGTGGCCTCTACAGTGCAGGGAAGAGAGGCTGTCGGGTTCTGTCCATGGCCTGGGGACCTGAAACCAAACTACTTGGAAGGCACAGAGCCCAGCCTAGGCCTAGAAAGCCCACTGGGCCTGGGTCATCAGCCCCCTACAGTCCTACCCTTAGAACCTGGCCCTCAGTGACAGGGGGATTGTCCCTAGAAAGTTGTCCTCTGTATTAAGAGCCCCACAGTCGGTCAGTGGAGACACTTTTATACAGGGCTCACTCCCCCTAGAGCCCTGGGCACTATGTGTAGGAACAGGCGGTGTGGTACCCAGGTATACCAAGCCTCCGCCTTCACTGTGGCCCCGTTCCTGAACACCCATCCATCTGGCAGACCCTGCGCTCATGCCTCATACCAAGGTTAAGCGAGACAGATGGACGGTGCTGATGGTGGTGACCATGCTGTGTCCTGGAAAAGGATGCTCACACGCAACCAACCCACTTCCCGCCTAAAGGCCTTTGTACTACTGGTCTTTTCCATGCCTGCCCCTGCCCAGGTTACCCATGCTTGGTACCCTCCTCTGAGAAGACAAGAGCTTGGCCCCAGCTGCTTCTGAGAGCAACATGGCCATGGTTGATAAGTTTTGTTATGGGGCGGCAGCTTCCTCGGTAGACGGAGGCTAAGCTTCCCTTCCAAGAGGACTTGCCTCTCTGACCCATCTTCAATAAATAACCTGCTCCTTGAGCTCTCGGGGAGAGGGGGAGGTGGGGGGGTGGCGCACAGGAACGGACAGACGGACACAGATGGACACACACACACACACACACACACACACACACACACACCATTAATACCAGGCTGGGAACTTAGGTAACTGGCAACCCTTCTCATTTTGACCAGGGTTTCTTCTGAAACCACCAAGACCCCTCTTACCATAAGGGACCAAGGCTTGGCCCGGTCCACTTGTAACTGGACAAAGAGCAGGGTGTCCCTAGTCCTCAGAGGCAGTTCCTGGCTCCGGCCCCTGCCTGGGCCTTGCACATCATTAGGTGATGTAGAAATGCTGGCAGTGTCTGAGGAGACGTGGTCCCTGCTCTCAAGGAATTTCTGATCTCGTTGGGGGAAGATAATTATAGACTAGCACGCAGCAGACACCAGGGAGGTGCCAAGTGGAGTATGATCAAGGGGAGCGTGTCATATGTGGGAAGGGATGGGACAGCTCCTGGCTGGGCAAAGTGCACTGGCTATTGATGGAGTCAGACAAGCCCTGGCTAACCTGTGAGGCTGGATGCGTCACCTCACCATGGGGCCTCCTGCCCTCTTCCCTGTGTAGGGGAGCCATGCCTCACACCTAGCTTGTGGTTTCTTTCTTTCTTTCTTTCTTTCTTTCTTTCTTTCTTTCTTTCTTTCTTTTTTTTTTTTTTTATGAGACAGGGTTTCTCTGTGTAGCTTTGCACCTTTCCTGGATCTTGCTCTGTAGCCCAGGCTAGCCTCGAACTCACAGAGATCCGCCTGCCTCTGCCTCCCGAGTGCTGGGATTAAAGGCGTGTGCCACCACCGCCCGGCCCTAGCTTGTGGTTTCTGTACCCAGAGTGCACTGTGTTGCCTGGAGAATCCCTGGCCTAGCCCAGGGTTCCTTTCCCCTCTGAGCCGTGACAGCCGGCTGCTGCCTAACCAACCCCTCTTTCTCTGGGGCTGAGCATCTGGGTAAGATGCAGATTCCTGGGCCCTACCCCAGACAGCTACGTTAGAATCTCCAGACAGCCAGGAATCTGCATGGGGTGGGGTGGGGTCAGCTTTATGGTTTTAGAAAATACTCAATTAGGAGCTGGGCAGTGGTGGCGCACATCTTTAATCCCGGCACTTGGAAGGCAGAGGCAGAGGGATCTCTGAGTTCGAGGCCAGCCTGGGCTACAGCGAGAGTTCCAGGACAGCCAGGGTTAAACAGAGAACTCCTGTCTCAAAAAATAAAAACAGGAAAAGAAAAGAAAATCCTCAATTAGGACACAGTTATACCATCTTCTTTTTTTTTAATAAACAATATTTTTGAAGTTTTCGTTCTTTCTGATAAGCAGAACAGTTGTCAAAATTCAGATGTTACTTTCTGTTTGTTTTGTTGTGTGTGTGTGTGTGTGTGTGTGTGTGTGTGTGTGTGTGTGGTCGTGCATGCGTGTACCGTGGCATGTGAGTGGAAGCGAGGAGACAATCTGTGGGGCTCCGTTCTCTCTGCCATGTGGGTTCCAGGGATGCAGCTTAGGGCTTCGGGCTTGACAGCCAGTGCCTTTACTGCTGAGCCCTCTCACGGGCTCCTGTTCCAGAATTCTAGCCGAGGAGTTTGCATGACTATGGCCCCGCTAACTCTGGAGTGCGCGCTCATCGTTTCGTTTTGTTTTATGTTTTTTGAGGCAGGGTCTTGCTATACAGCCCAGGCTGGTCTCGAATTCGCTCTCCCCTGTCTCAGTCATGCTAAGATTGCAGGCCGAAGCGCATTCCTTTGAAAGGGTGAATTCTGCTTTGAGGGTGCAGCTCCGTGGTAGAATGTTTGCCTAGCGTGTGAGTCTCTGTGTCCTTCAAACCGCACGATGCTGGGATTGGAAGTGTCTGTAATGGTTCAGTAGTAAAGGCCCTTGCCACCACGCCTGACAACCTGAGTTCGATCCCTGGAAGTCCCATGGTAGACTGAGAGAACCAGTTCTGGAAAGTTGCCTCTGACCTTTGCCTATGCACTGGGCAACCTCCCCCACCTCACCCCCTGCACACACATACAAGTAAAATAAATGTAATGTAAAAATCAGTAATTCCTGAGGGCCATTTGTGGCGCACGCCTTTAATCCCAGCACTCGGGAGGTAGAGGCAGGTGGATCTCTGTGAGTTCCGAGGCCAGCCTGGGCTACAGAGTGAGTTCCAGGACAGACTCCAAAGCTACACAGAGAAACCCTGTCTTGAAAAACAAACAAACAAACAAACAAAAAATTAGTAATTCTATTTACCATTTTCATCAGTACCTGTTAGCAGTTACTCCCCATGCCACCAGTAATCATATGTATGCTCTGCCTCTGTTCATTTGTAGTTTCTTTAAATGTTACTTTCAAAGAAAATGGCTTATTTTGTAATGTGTATGAATGTTTTGTCTGCATGCATGTATGCGCACCCCCTGCGTGCTGTTCCCTCAGAGACCAGAAGAGGGCATTGGATCTCCTGGAACTAGAGTTACAGATGGTTGTGAACCACTATATGGGTGCTGGGAACTGAACTTGGGTCCCCTGCAGGAGCAGCCAGTGTTCTTAACAGCTGAGCCATCTCTCCAGACCTATTTAAATATTAATTTTGCCGCATACCTCTTCCTAAATCTGCCACCTGCACACACACACACCCCCTCTTGAGTTTACCTCCCTTTAGGTAACAGTACACCTACTTTTATCCTTCCAGAGTGCCCATGCTCACTAGTGTGCACATAGGGGCAGTCCCCTCGACACACCCCAACAGTGCTGGCAGCTGCATGCTCTGCCTCCTCTTTGTCTTGGGAATGTTGAGATAGTTTAACGTGTTCATGCCTCACAGATCTTTCTGATTAAAATCCAGAGAGAGCCGCCTTAGTCTCTGTAATTGTTGCATTGAACCATCAGACCGTCTGTGATTTATTTTAGGAGTGTTTTACTATCGCTCATAGAAACCAAAATGATTCTGTTTCCTTGAGATCTGCGGGTGTGCCTCACCCTCAGAGCACTCCTCTGGTATGTATGAGGCTCTGGGGTTGATCCCCAGCACCCCAAAAGCATCTTCTCCATTCCCCACTGCCTCTTTGAGTTCTTCCATCCTTCCCAACGCTTTGAGAAAGGCAGCCCCCAAGGGGCTCAAGAGTGACCCATGTCTTTGCCATGGCCATACCTGCCCTGGCCAGCATGACAGTGACCACGACCTTGCCCATAGTTTCTCCCTCCTGAAGAAGAAGTTCCCACTAGCCAGGGTGTTGGCCTGCCTGCAGGCGACTGACTGCCCCACAGACAGGTGAGACGATGTCTCAGAATCCTTCCCTCGGTGAGACGCTCTGATGCCAAGGTGGGCACGGAACACCTTGTGGTCCTCATTCAGATGCAGGCCAAGACAACCTGCCAAGGCTTGGGGGCTCTGACGGATGGAATTAAATATTCATGCCACTCATACACATACATACACACACACACGTACATGATTGACTGACTGGGTTTCTGCTCCATGTTTCTCCTCTAGAAAAACAAGAATAAGAAGAAAGGCAAGGATGAGAAGTGTAGCTCCGAGGTGACTACTCCGGAGGACAGCTCGTCACCAGGGATGATGGACATGCACGGTGAGCCCTCCCGCAGCCGGCCTCCCCGCCCGGGCCTCAGGAAGCCCTGAGTTGTGTGTTCCTCTGGCTGGTTTGTTCACATTCCAGGCAAAGGGTAGGAGGGCTGGGCAAGACTGCCAGGCCTCCGTGCCAAGGAGGAGCTCTTCAGAGGAGACATTTCTTTCCCTGGCATACCTAGCCAAGAAACAAAACAGAAACATAGAAATCACACCCTTTCCTCACCCAGGGGCACAGTCTCACACACGATCCCGGCAGCCCTGCCCACCCAGGAAGATTTGGGAGGGGGCGTGTGATGTGCCAGACCCACGACTATATTTCCCACTCTCCATTTTTGCTTTGCTCTTGGGAAACTCCAGAATGGGTTTCTGAGTAGTTCGTGGTCACCGTAGGAACCCGGGCACTGCCCTCTCTTGACAACCTAACTTCCTGATTGGCTGTCTGATTTTAGAAGTTGTGATGTGTGTTCGTCCTATCCATCAGGGTGAGGCTGGGGCCGTCTCCTGTTTTCACCTTGTCTGTCTCTCTCACCTTATCGAGAGGAAAGGCTCAGATCATAGTCCTACGGCTCCGTGAAATGTCCATAAAAGGCGCACGCCTCATAGCCAGCCCGTTCCAAGGCACAGGATGTGCTCCGCCTGTCCCGACAGGCCTCTCTACGAGGAGAGCCCCCGTAGACGTTCCAACCTGAAGTTTTGGTGGGAGATGATTCGGTTTCTGTCACTATAACAAAATGCTTGAGATGCTGCAGTTTGAAAGAGGACGGGTGTGCTTGGGCTCATGGCGTCAGAGGCTGAGTCCGTTCAGTTGATGCTGTTGTTTTGGGGGCCTCCGGTAAGCTAGCACATCATGGTGGGAACAGCGAGGTAGAGGAAGCAGAGCAGGCTTCCTTGGAGATGTGTGCCTATAGTCCCAGGCTTCAGGAGGTAGAGACAGGAAGATCACAACCTGGCCTACATAGTGAATTCTAGGCCAGCCTGGGCTATAGAGTGAAACCGTATCTCAAGACCAAGAGGGGCCAAGGGGACCCCTTCAGTGGCTAGAAGACCTCTCCCTAGGCTCCACCGCTTAAAGTTTCTGCTGCCTCCCAACTGCACCAAGCTGAGGATTTAGCCTTTAACACATGGGCCTTTGGGGACATTTAAGATTCAAACCATATAGCAGCGTTTGATATTTGTGAATCAGAAAACCTGCTTTACTGCTGTTGTTTTGAGAAGTCAGGTGTTGCTGTGCTAGAGCAGCTGGCTGCAGCAGGAACAGCGATCATCCCTTAGGGGAGACATGGACGCTCTAGCCCCCCTGGCCACCCCATCCTGTCTCCAGGCTGGCCCCACCCTTCCAGAGTCTAACGTACTTCCCTCCCCTCCCCCCTCTTTCTTCTCTCCACTCCCTCTCTTCCTCCCTCCTTGTCTCTCTCCCTCCCTCCTTGTCTCTCTCTCTCTCTCCTTAGTTTGTTTATTTATTGTTTGTTTCATTTTGTTTTTTGTTTTGGAGAACAATCTCTCACTGTGTAGCCCTGGCTGGCCTGGAACTCACTGTGTAGAGCAGACTGGCTTGGAACTCACACGTCTAACTACCTCTACCTCCCGAGTGTTGGGATTAACACCATGTGCCACCACACCCCATACATGTATTTATTATATGTGCACATGCCATGGCACACATGTGGAAGTCAGAGGACAGCTTGGGGGAGTCCTATCTTCCCCTCCACCCCGTGGGTCCCGAGGATTGAACTCAGGTCACCAGGCTTGGTGGCAAGCTCCTTTACCTACTGAGCCATTTTGCCAGCCCTGTATTGGGAAATTTTTGTTGTTCGTTTTGTTTGTTTGTTTTTGGAGACAGTGTTTGGCTCTATAGCCCAAGCTGGTCTAAAATGTATTATGTAGCTCAGGCTGTCCTCAGGCTTGTAGTGATCATGTCCCTGGCTCCCAGGTACTAGATACGCCGCATCCAACTCTTGATCTTGATTTTAATGTTTTGACTTTCGAAGTTTTTTTTATTGCATTTATTTATTTTGTGTGTGAGTTGGGGAGATGTAGGAGTACTACAGTGTCAGAGGACAACTTGTGGGGGACAGTTCTGTCCTTCCAAGTAGGTTCCAGGGATCGAACTCAGGTCGCCAAGCTTGGTGACCAGCACCTTTTCCCACTGAGCCGTCTCGATGGCCCATGCATGTGTGCGTACTTTTGGCCATTCTGAACCTTTTGTACAAGGTGGTATCCAGCAGATTAGTTGAAGTCAAAAGGAATGGTGGTTCCCTGAAGTTGCCTATGCCCTCAGACAAAGCCTGCCTCATCCCGGGAATCCAGGCAGAGGCAGTAAGTACACTGGTGTCTTAGTTAGGGTTACTATTGCTATGATTAAACACATGACCACAAAGCAAGTTGGGGAGGAAAGGGTTTATTCAGCTTACACTTCCACATTGCTGTTCATCATCGAAGGAAGTCAGGACAAGAACTTAAGCAGGGCAGGAACCTGGAGGCAGGAGCTGATGCCGAGGCCTTGGAGGGGTGCTGCTTACTGGCTTGCTCCTCCTGGTTTGCTCAGCCTGTTTTCTTACAGAACCCAGGACCACCAGCCCAGGGGGGGCACCATCCACGGTATGTTGAGCCCTCCCACATCAGTCACTAATTAAGAAAATGCCCAGCTGGGCAGTGGTGGCACACACCTTTAATCTCAGCACTTGGGAGGCAGAGGCAGGGGGATCTTTGAGTTCAAGGCCAGCCTGGGCTACAGAGCGAGATCTACCATAGGCTCCAAAGCTACACAGAGAAACCCTGTCTCGAAAAACAACATCAGGAAGGAAGGAAGGAAGGAAAGAAGGAAGGAAGGAAGGAAGGAAGGAAGGAAGGAAGGAAGGAAAGAAGGAAGGAAGGAAGGAAGGAAGATGCCCTACAGGCTTGCCTACAGTCCAAACTAATGGAGACGTTTTCTCAATTGGGGTTCCCTCCTCTCAAATGGCTCTAACCTGTCTCAAGCTGGCATAGAATTATCCAGCACACCTCATTTACCCAAACTCACCATTCTGGATTCCCAGTCCCTGGCACCTAATCAAGGGGCCTGGTTTCTTAGTGACTTGGCTTCATCAAAACCCAACGGGGTTTTTGCTGCTGGTTAACGAGCAAAGAAAGACCCAAGATCCCAGGATGTAGTGGCAGCACAGGTCTGTAATCCTAGCTCTCCAGAGATGGAGGCAGAGGGATCAGGAGTTCGAGGCTGGGCTACATGAGACTAGGTCTCAGACAAAACAACAGAACTAGGGTTGGGGATGTGGTTCCATTGACAGAGCGCTCACCTGGCTGGCACGGAGCTCTGGGTCCTATCCCTAGTGCTGTGTAAACTGGGTATGGGGGTACAGGTCTGTAATCTCGGAAGTTCAAGGTCATCGTAAGTACCAAGCTCAGGGTGAGATATGGAATATGGCCCGGTTGGTTCCCCGCCATTCAGAAGCAGTCCCTCTCTGACTTTCCCATGACCTCCCCTAACTGTGTCGTGTTGAGTTAGCGATGTAACCTCTAGCCTTCTGGGTGGTTTTAACCCGTAGAATTCGGTGGCAATGCCTGCTACATGAAGCCCTTGTGGGGGTTAGAGGAGACAATCTCTGAAGAGCCTTGGCATGTTAACAGCTACCATTTATGAAGCCATCACAATGTGCCAAGCGTCTGGTAACAACAAGGCTCATCTCACAGATGAAGAAACTATGGCTGGGGTCGGGGGAGGGGTGTGTGTGTGTCAACTCACCCCATTAGCAAGCTGGTAACTTCCAATGCTAGAGTTGACATGTGAGAGCCTTTGTGGGCAGAATCTAGACTTGCTGCCTGGACCGATGGGGAAAGAGCCAGCTCCTGGACATAAGGAGCACATCCACCCGCTCCCCATCATTTTCATTTTAACTCATGAACAACCAAGACCAAGGCAGGGGTGGCCAAGCGTGAAGGCTTGGGGACAGATGTGGGCCTGGCAAGAATGTGTCCAGAAGGCTGGGGAAGGGGCACAGCAGGAGCTGTGGAGGTCACCCACACTGGTGTCTGTAGTCTACATATTCGACCATGTCAGCTGTGGACCACGGTTCCCAGGCCCGGGCCCCAACATCTGCCCGGTTGGACATTAATACTCAAGGTCGTTATTAACAGAATTTCCATCACGATTGGGTCTTGACCCAGGACTTTCTTGCAGGTAAATGAGGAGAACACATATTTCAAGTCAAGAGTTCACAAGAGAATGCTTTTATGTAACTAGCATTCCAGAGTACAGTTACGTGAGATCAGCGGGGCTCTGTGACTGCCTGGTGCTCCTCCAGGGGGAGGTAAAAGAGAGACTAGGAGTTGAGAGTTGGTCCACATTGGATGGGAGGCACACATCTGTAATCCCAGCCCTGGGGAAAGAGGGAGGAGGACCGGAGTTCAAGGTCATCCTCGGTGTCTCCTGAGGCCAGCATGAGCTACATGAGACTGTGTCTTAAATAAAAACCAGAGAAACAGCAGATAGATCTGAGGGGTCAATTCTCCCATCTGTAAGAATTTTGGTAGCAATACCAGGTAGGTAGGTGGGTAGGTAGGTAGGTAGGTGCCCATGAGTGGGTTGTTGAGTGAATGCAGTGTCTGGGCATGGTAGCACACCTGTAGTCCCCAACTCCCTGGAAGCTGAAGCCAGAGGATTGCTCGAGACTACGATTTTAGGCCTAGCCTGGACCACATGGCAAGGCCTTGTTTTCAGAACATAATGGGATAATTGTAAATGCTCTTTCTCAGGGCATGACACATAGTAGGTACCCGGAGCTCTTGGAGTGCCTCTGCCATCCTCCCTTTTACAAGGCCCTACACACAGCACCGCCCACAAAGACAGCCTCAGATTATAGTGCTATTTATCTTGTTTGAGACTGTCAATTTGTTTTTTGGTTTTTGTTGTTGTTTTTGAGACAGGGTCTCTCTGTGTAGTTTTGCACCTTTCCTGGAACTCACTCTGTAGACCAGGCTGACCTCGAACTCACAGAGATCCACCTGGCTCTGCCTCCCGAGTGCTGGAATCAAAGGCGTGCGCCACCACCGCCTGGCGAGACTGTCAATTTGAAGTCCTTGCTGGCCTGAACTCACTATGTAGAGCAGGATGATCTCAAATTTTCAGTAATCCTCCTGGCTCTGCTCCTGAGTACTAGGATTATAAGCATGAGCTGCCATGTGATAGAGTGTTTCTATAAGATCACCACTTGGGTATCTTCGGTCTAAAATGACTGTATCATACTTACCTGGCAGAGGAGGTCAAGGCCCGGAAGGTGGTTTCCAAGGGCGAGGTTCCTCTATTACACTTGGGATTTGCTGATTCACACATGACCCCTGTGATTCTCCCCAGTGTGGGAAACTCAACTGTGTAATTTGTGGGAGTTGGGGATGCGGTTATGCTTTTCCCTATAAAAATTATGTTGTCTTTTTTTTTTTTTTTCCCCAGAGCTGAGGACCGAACCCAGGGCCTTGTGCTTGCTAGGCAAGCGCTCTACCACTGAGCTAAATTCCCAACCCCTCCTATAAAAATTAAAAATCAAATAAAATGACTCTACCCATGAAAGGGGGGTCAGGACAAGGGGAGGTATACCCTGGATCCCAGGTCTGTCTCCACCTGAACCATTAATACCACTGCCCCATTACCTCTCATCTCTTCATCAGAGAAAACACGGTGTGACCAAGCAGTGGTGGCGCACGCCTTTAATCCCAGCACTGGGGGGCAGAGGCAGGCAGATCTCTGTGAGTTCAAGGCCAGCCCGGGCTACAGAGCAAGATCCAGGAAAGGCACCAAAACTACGAAGAGAAACCCTGTCTCAAAAAACAAAACAAAAAAAGAAAGGAAGAAAAAAGAAAAAACACGGTGTGATAAGCCCCATCGACTCCCTGCTTCAGTTTTTATGAACACTAGGCCATATTTGCCACGTGTTTTTTTAATGTTTTGTTTGTGATTGACTTTTAATTTGCATAAAAGACACATGTCTCTTGGGTATGAAGTCTGTGGAGTCCTGACAGTTGTCTCCAGTTTGGGTTAAAGTACGTTTCCCCACCTAGCCATGTTTAATCTGTACCTACCCATTTCAGCATACGTTGCCAAAGGGTGACATTAACCCAGACCCACTGTGCCATTATCTCTCCTAACAAAATTAGCAATAATCCCTTAATAACTTTAAGAATCCAGACCATATGCAAATTCCCCAATTGTTCCAAAATGTGTTATAGCTGGCGCGTTCCAAATTAGATTCAATTAATTGGCACACGTCGTACTTACTGGCTAGGTCTCTTACATTTCTTTAATCTTTAGTATTCTTTCCCAGTTCTCCTTCCTTTCTTTGTTAGGGCTTTTTGGTCCCTGCATGATGGGGACAGGGCCCAGGGCATTGGGAAGGTAGGAAAGTATTTTACCATGAGCATATATATACCAGGCCTCTTTTCAAACTGATTTCTGGGCCAGGGAAATAGCTTAGTGTGTAAAAGCACTTTCAGGGAAAGCTTGAAGACCCAAGGTCAGATTCTGGGAAAATCTGTAAATGCCGACTGTTCTCTGACCTCCACACAGCATGTGCCCCTGCACACAAAATGTATTACACACCAAAATAAATAAGTGCAGGCTGGGTGGCGGTGGTGGCTCACGCCTTTAATCTCAGCAACTTGGAGGCAGAGCCAGGCAGATCTCTGTGAGTTCGAGGCCAGCCTGGTCTACAGAGTGAGTTCCAGGACTGGCACCAAAACAACACAGAGAAACCCTGTCTTGAAAAATAAATAAATAAATAAATAAATAAGTGCATAAACACTTTTTGTTTGCTTGGGGGACAGGATCTGACTAGGCAGGCAGCCTTGGCTGGCCTGGAACTCAAGAGAGCCTTCTGCCTCTACCTTGAGTGCCAGGATGAAAGGCGTGTGCTACCATGTCCAGCCATAAAGCAATGCTCTTTAAAAGTTATTGGTGGGGTTAGGGTGGGAGCTGGGGAGATGGCTCAGTGGTAAAGAGTATTTATTGGTTGCTCCTGGATAACCCAGGTTCAATTCCCAGCACTTGAATAGTGGTTCACAACCATCTGTAATGCCAAACCCAAGAGAGCCAATTCCCTCTTCTGGCACCTGCAGGTGCTGGGCCATGCATGTGATGCAGACATGCATGTAAGCAAAACATCCATCCACATAAATTAAAGGGATTTTGTGGGTGAGGCTAGAGAGATGGCTCAAGTGGTTAAGAGCACTTGATGCTCTTCCAGAGGACCCGGGTTCAATTCCCAGCACTAGTCAGGGGGTTTATAAAACTAACTCTAGCTCCAGGAAATTCAAAGCCTTCAACGTGCACCTCCACCCATGTGTACACACCCACATGCACATACACAGACCTGCCACATAATTCAGATAAGGGCTGTGTGGCGGTGGTGGCGCACGCCTTTAATCCCAGCTCTCAGGAGGCAGAGGCAGGCGGATCTCTGAGTTTGAGGCCAGCCTGGTCTATAGAGTGAGTTCCAGGACAGCCAGGGCTGTTACACAGAGACACCCTGTTTCAGAAAACAAGGCAATTTTTAAAATAAATCTTATAAAAATGATTCCCGGGGTTGGAGAGATGGGTGAGTGGCTAAAAGCACTTCCTGTAAAGGACCTAGGTTTTGTTTCCAACACCACGTCAAAGCCTCCTGTCAGCCCGTTTAAGGGGGACTTTTCTGCCTTCCACAAGCACCTGTGTGGGATGGTGCACAGAATTACCAGCAGGCACACACATACACATCGGAAATTATTAAATAAAGCAGTGGCTAATTTCTGGTGCTCTTACTACCTCTTCATAGCCAACAGGAATCCAGCCTGGAGCTTCAGGAAATGAGGTGGAATGTTGTAATACTACTTCATGGCTTGATACACAAAATATCTGGTTTTCTCCACCCAGAATTAAGCCTCACGGACGCCAAAGTTTTTTTTTTTTATATAATTCAATATTTTTATTCTTTGCGAATTTGATATATGTATACAATAATGTATTTTGATCATATTCACCCCATAAGACCTCCCAGGCCCACTTCATCCCCTCCCATCTTATTTATTTATTCATTATTTATTTTTTAAATAATCTGTTTAACATTATTTTATGTACATTGGTGTGAAGGTGTCAGGTCCCCTGGAACTGGAGTTACAGACAGTTGTGAGCTGCCATGTGGTTCCTGGGAATTGAACTCAGGTCCTCTGGAAGAGCAGCCAGTGCTCTTAACCGCTGAGCCATCTCTCCAGCCCCTGTTCCCATATTTATTAAAAAAAAAAAAAAAAAAAAAATTCTTTTCGTTTTTTTTCAAGATAGGGTTTCTCTCTGTAGCCTTTGCTGTCCTGGCTCTCGCTCTGTAGACCAGGCTGGTCTCAAACTCACAGAGATCCACCTGCCAGTACCTCCTAAGTGCTGGGATCAAAGGTGTGCACCACCTAGCAAGATTAATTATTTTATCTGGGCATTGTGGCGCACACCTTTAATCCCAGCGTTTGGGAGGCAGAGGCAGGTGGATCTCTGAGTTTGAGGGCCGCCTGATTTACATAACAAGTTCCAGGACAGCCAGGGCTACATAATGAAACCACATCTAAAGAAAAAAGATTTATTTTTATTTCATGTATGGAGCCCAGTAGAGGGTCAGAGCCCCTGGAATTGGAGTTATGGATGTTTATGAGCCACCCCATGGATGCTGGCAGCTAAGACTGCATCCTCTGCAAGAGCAGCCCGTGTTCTGCTACGCCGTCTCTATGGTCCTGTGTGTCCTCGGTTTTTTGATAACTTACTGAGTCTCATTTGTGCTGCTCATATATCCGTGGGTGTGGCCCCGTCCACTGGAGCATGGTCAGCCTACCAAGAGCGACACCCTTAGAGAAAACAGACTCTCCCTCGGGAGAGTCAATAGCCCCTCCTTCCGTGCTGAAATGTTGACTGGCTTGATCTTCAAGCAGCTAAAGCGACTGTGTGCCTTCGTGAGCCGCTGTGGGCCTGTCAAGGCGAGGAGCACTCACTGTTTTGTCTGGTCCGTCCAGCCTCTGGCTCTTTCCAATCTGCCACCATCTCTGTCCGGCACGCTCCAGACACGGGGACCTCCTTAGTTAGCCAGGGGCTGTGGGGGAGGTGTTAAGAGGGGGCAATAGTGAGGCATAGGAAAGCTGAGCCCCAGCCGCACGCACGCACGCACGCACGCACGCACGCACGCACGCACGCACGCACGCACGCTCCCGCTCCCCTCTCCTCAGCAGCCATAGCATGTCAACCTGTGCTCTGTTCCTGTGCAGACGACAATAGCAACCAGAGCTCCATAGCGGACGCCTCTCCCATCAAGCAGGAGAACAGCAGCAACTCCAGCCCTGCCCCCGAGCCCAACGCACCTGTGCCCAGTGACGGCCCCGAAGCCAAGGCCGATGAGGCGCAGGCCGACGGGAAAGAGCACCCTGGAACTGAAGGTACTTGCCGTCCGGGAATGGGGCACAGAGGGGCGGCTGCTCAGCGGGCTGCAGCCAGACCAGCCAATTGGGCTGGGTTCCGTCCCCAACACCGCATAAACTGAGCCTGTAGTACGTGCCTGTGATCCTAGCACTTGGGAGGTAGAGGCAGGGGGATCAGGAGGAGTTTGGGGGCTAGCCTGGATTGCAGATCATGCTTTTTAAAAAAAAAAATCACTGGTGTGTGTGTGTGTGTGTGTGTGTGTGTGTGTGTGTGTGTGTGTGTGTGGGTGGAGATGGTGGTGGCGCATGCCTTTAATCCCAGCACTTGGGATACAGAGGTAGGTGGATCTGTGAGTTCAAAGCCGACCTAGTCTACAGAGTGAGTTCCAGGACAGCAAGAGTTGTTACATAGAGAAACCCTATGGGGGGGGGGGAGGACGACCATAAACAAACAAATAAATAAATAAGCAAGCACATAAATAAATAAATAATGAAATCGAGTATCAATCACCAGAATTAGGAAAGGGGGTGAAAGTCTTGGTGAATTACGAAGGTGATAGGATAAGGCTGCCTTGTAGTGACATGAAGCAGGTAAAGGTGGGATTGGGCAAGGAAACAAGCCCAAGTCAGGGGGTTGAACGTGGGGCAGATAAATGGGTGGTACAAAGGTCCTGAGACAGAGGCGAGGTCGGTGTGGCAGAGAAGAAGTGAGGGGTTGGAAAACCAAGATAGAGTCATAGAGGAGGCTGGCCTCCAGTTGTGGTGAGCTCATAAGGCCACTGCCCCCTTGCTTTTTATGAGCAGCAAGACAAGAGCCATGGGTTGACAAGACCTAAAGAACTGAGAAAGCCAGGCAGTGGTGGTGCACGCCTGTAATCCCAGCACTCGGGAGGCAGAGGCAGGCGGATCTCTGTGAGTTCGAGGCCAGCCTGGGCTACAGAGCGAGATCCAGGACAGGCTCCAAAGCTACACAGAGAAACCCTGTCTTGAAAAACAAAAAAAACAAAAAACAAAAAACAAAAAAAAAAAAAACTGAGGAAAAGTGGTGCTTAGGGTGGAGGTGGCCACACCTTTGTGAGACGGCAGCCATTGTCTGTGTGAGGGAGAGTGGTAGCTAGGCCAGGGTGGAGTGGAGGGGCTGGTACAAGAGCTAATAACTGGTTGTGGGTGGTATAGAGCTTTCATCCCAGCCCAATGAAGGCTGGCACAATGTGACCAGTGTGAGGCCAGCCTGAGCTACAGAGCAAGTCTGGGGCCAGCACAGAACAAAACGAGGAAGTCTGGAGAGGTGGGCTCAGCAGTTAAGAGTATTGGTTGCTGGGCTGGAGGGATGGCTCAGTGTTTAAGAGTATTGGTCGCTCTTACCCAGGACCCAGGTTCCATTCCCAGCACCCACATGGTAGCTCATGCCTGTCTGTAACTCTCCAGTTCTAGGGGATACAATCCAATGCCCTCTTCTAGCTCCAAGGGCACTGCATGTATGTGGAGCACTTGCATGTAGTGAAATACTCATACATGAAATAAACACAAATAAATAGATAAAAGGCTAAAGATAGAGGTCAATGGTGGAGCTCTTACCAGGCATGCAAGGACCCTAGGTTTAATCCCCAGTCTCTCTCTCTCTCTCTCTCTCTCTCTCTCTCTCTCTCTCACACACACACACACACACACACACACACACGAGAGGGGGCGTTGGGGATATAGCTCAGTTGGTAGAGTACTTGCCTAGCATGTAGGAAGCCCTGGGTTCTACTCCTAGTACTGTGTAAGCTGAGTGTGGTGTAATCCTGTAATCCTAGCACTGGGAAGATGGAGGCATGAGGACCAGAAAGAACTTCAAAGTCATCCTTGGCCACACACTGAGTTCAAGGTCAATCTGGAGAAGTGCCTAAGTCTTTGAAAAAAGATTTGTTTATTTAATTTTCACATTTCTTTCCACTTGACTCATCATCCATGGAGCTGTCTGGCCCCTAGGCCAGGGGACTTTTGATGTCATGGTCATAGTAAAGAAAGGGAGTCTGGAGGCCCCGGAGGGCTTCTTGGTGGTGATGCCATCGGACCCAGGCTTCAGGGATGAGCTGATGTTCCCGGAGGGCAGTTCTTCTAGTCAGGGAGACCAAGTCCCAAAATGACGCAACTCGAGGGAGCTGTGGGATGTTGGTGTGACTGACTGACCCCGGGGAGTGCTGAGGGGGGCTGGAGACTGGAGTTTAGAGGGCCTCTCTGACGCCCATTGGGGTGAGCTGGGGCGTGTGCAGTCCAGACTTCAGCTAGAGGAGTCCCGAAGAGCAAGAGGGCCGGCAGGGTGGTCTGAGCGCAGGTAGGGAAGTCCAGAGAGGCTCAAGGGTCTCAGATTCAGTGTGGCCGCCCTTTTTTGAGCATGTGGGGAAGTGTTCATGCGGGAGGTTGGCCCTTGGGTAGGGCGGAAGTGGGTGTGCAGGTCAGGATACAGAGGGTCTTGGTTGGGTTTCTTTTTCTTTTTTTGGTTTTTTCGAGACAGAGTTTCTCTGTGTAGTTTTGGTGCCTGTCCTGGAACTCACTCTGTAGCTCAGGCTAGCCTTGAACTCACAGAGATCCGCCTGCCTTTGCCTCCTGAATGCTGGGATTAAAGGTATGCGCCACCACCGCCCGGCTTTGGTTAGGTTTCTATTGCTATGATAAAACACCATAACCAAAGCAACTCAGGAAGGAAAGGGTTTATTTCAGCTTACAGTTCCATATCACAGTCTGTCGTCAAAGGAATTCGGGGCAGGAACCTGGAGACAGAAACTGAACCAGAGGCCAGGAAGGAGCGCTGCCCGCTGGCTTGTGCAGCCTGCCTTCTTATAGCACCCAGGACCACCAGCCAAGAGGTGGCACCGCCCACAGTGAGCTGGGCCTCCCATCCATCAAGAAAATGCCCTACAGCTTGTCCACAGGCCACTCTGATGGGGCATTTTCTCAGTGAAGGCACCTTTTCCCAAATGACTCTAGCTTGTGTCAAGTTGACATAAAACTAGCCAGCTCACAGGGAGTGATTTAGATATTAGGGTGTAGACGGAAGTTGAGTCTCTTCTACCCCAGATTTCCTGTGGTTGCATTCCTCCACCCCATGAGGCAGAAACAGAGTGCCGCCTGGCATGCATGAGGCCCTGGGTCCACCCCTACCAACACACACATACACACACACAGACACACAACACACAAACACACACACACACATACAGACACACATACACACATACACACACACACACACACACACATACAGACACACACACACAGACGCATACAGACACACACAGACACACAACACACAAACACACACACACATACAGACACACATACACACATACACACACACCACACACACACACACACACACATACAGACACACACACACAGACGC